TTAATGAATGGTTAATTAAGTATTTCAACTATTTCCCTGTGTAATTCAATCTTACTGGGAAGAATATATTGAATGTAAACAATCGACAATCAGTCTGTGAAATAAAACTGTAATACAATGTATGATTGTATTAGAAATGATCAATTAAAATGGAGTTTTATGTCTTGTCTGAAATACAAATTGGGGTTTGTGCCTATTCATAAGCAACAATTATTCAATTATTTTATTGCAAAGAGGACAATTTTATCTGACAAAATATAATTTCAATTTTGACGTGATTTTGATATTTCATAATATAGACTGAAAGTTGTTTTTCAACTAAACACAGGGGCTTTTTCCAGGGACCTTTCCCAAAAAATTCATCGAAGATGAAATTGAGATCTTAGAATTGATTATAATGATTGACCAATCAGATGACAGGAATTAAGAATGAGAATACCTACATCTAACAGGCTAGCCTCCAGCCAGCCCCTAATTTACATAATTAATCTTACATATTAATTATCTTGTTACCTGAAGTTATCAACCTTAACGAGTTTTCTACAGGTAACCCCTATGACCTCAGATTAAGCAGATTAATGTAATCACAGGTAGCTGTAGGGGGAGGGATAATCTCTCTGTAAACCTTACTGTCTTCCTGGTGTAGTTTAAACATGTATCATGTTTTACCTGGAGTTTACCTGGTGGTCTACCTGTTATTAGCTAATTATTCATTAAGGTCAGAGTTCAGTGGTCAGTGAAACTTAGTTGTCCACAAAGTCAGATTGAAATTTTATTTGTGTTCTTTTCTTTTTTGATTTGTGTTACTTGGAAAGCTGGATGTAAACCTCTCTTAATACTTTTGCTGAAAACAAAATGAAAATTGCTTTGAGCAATCTATGCTTATTGTTGAAAGTTTGGATTTAATGCGATAGATTCTTATGAAAACTTCTGAAAAAGTTTGTTAAATTATGATTTCTCTTGATATTGTGTAATTTAGTAAAATCGTAAGGTTTGAAAATCTACATCAGCCACGTCATTGTTCTCTGCAAGTTTGATTTTGGAAATTTTGTGGAAGATGTTTTAAATGATATAATTCTATGGATATTTTAAGATTTAAATCTGGATTTGGAAAGTTGAAATTAGCCTGAACTCGAAGCAAAAAATACCTGTAAAGACAGATTCCAAATCGTCTTGGTCAACGAGCAGATTGTCTTGGTCAACGAGCAAATTGTCTTGGTCAACGAGCAGATTGGATAGATTCTGATTTAATTAACACTTCCGATGGTTGTCAGGTGAAACAATTATCACCTTTATATGATTAGACCATTTTTATCATTGTTACTATTTCCTTTAGATCATTCCTTTACCTGTTAATTGCAATCTGATGCCATGTTGGAACTTGTGTCAGGGAATTCTTGAACATTTCAAAACCTTAACTAGAAGAGAAGATTTGCAGGCTTTTTAGAGACTTTGTGGAATTTGACACTGGAATCTAAAAAAACATTTGGAAATATACTATTGTTGTGCCACACCCTTCTGGAACAGGTTTCATAGAATTTTTTGAACTTTTCCTAAGTATTTTGAAGTTTTGACAATAGATTCCAAAGAACATTTTGGAAATATTCTAAGCCTGTTACTTATATTATGTAATTGGATATGATAGAAAGTTAACATGGAATATTCAAAGAAATAAGCAGAATGTTAAAAAAACAATACAAGAAACTAGTGAATAGTTTAAATTCCAAATTTAAACAAATGGTAAATGATTCCAATTCATTCATTCATTCTATTGTGATAGATCATTTATTCATGTAATCATCTTTCATTCATTCATTCATTCATTCATTCGTTCATTTTTATTTGAAGGTAATAAGTTAATTGTAGCCACAAGCCTTGCTAGAGGATGTGAAGGGTAATGAACTATGGTTATTAATAATGAAATTAAACCATTGGTAATACTGTTTGAGATTCACATCTAGACTTGTAATTCTTATACTTTGATGTCAGATTACTCAAGATGAGATTATTTAAATGCGTAATTAATTTAGAAAGGTTAATAATGAAATAATTCAGTAATTTATCAACAATATATCTGGTGTTTCTCAAACATCTTAGATTATATTTTTTTTAATTAGAAACTAGACAATTGCCAAGTTTGATATCATCTATGAACAGACTGACTTAGTCTTGTTTATCATTTAGACTCAGAACAGTATAGCCTTGTATTTCACTAAATAAACGAGATTATAATATAATAAAGAACAGAGGTCACTATGAGGTGTAAATATTTTATAAAATGAAAGTAGGTCAAAGTGCATTATGAGTGGTATAATAACATATTTGTTTGTTGACACAAAAGATAAAACAACAAATCAACAGAATTATCATCAGTGATGGCGCCAGCCTCCTAGAACTGGGTTACAAATAGGGGAGCACCTTGACTAAAAGGGGGTTGGGGAAGGGCACATACACAAGATTCCATTGAAGGTTCTGAGAGGGTTCTCCCTTAAAATAGATTTTATTTGATTCATTCTGACCATGTTTTGGGGCAAAAGGCCTACGAATTATGTTTTAAAACTTCTTCAAAATGAGGTGGGGGTAAATAGTTCTTTAGACAAGTTTAACATAGTTTGTCTACATAACCTTCAACTAAAGGCTTATTGAATCAAATGATTGAACTCTAGTGATAAAATATCAACAGATAAAGAGTCAATTATGTATGAATGAATCTATTGTATTGTGTTCAGGTTTGATAAAGTCTTGGTAAATTAATCATACCTAGTTTAATACTATAAATAGATTCAGGTAGGAGGTGGGTGTGTCTAATGACTGCAATCTGACTAAACAGTCAATAACAACCCATAGTCTTTCATAATCATTGATATCCTTAGTCTCCCTATAGTTTTAGAGAGATTGTCTGTAGTTTGATTGTGAATTTGTATTTAAAGGATTAAAAATTGGGAAGTGGAATTTTGGATCCAGGCCTGTAAAAATGGCCTGTCTTGTTTCTCCTACATCGGTAAGAAAATCTACTTTAAAGACAATGTTTACACTAAGCCAATCTGTAGGATGTAAAGGGTACAGTAGGATTGTATCAACTATAATGTTTAAATGTTAAAACTTCCTTATCCTAGTGTTTGATAGTTGTTAAGTTATAAAAGATTAGCCGTGTCTTCCTGTATGTTAACAACACACCTTTCAACTTTTATTATGAATATTATAGTCTTTTAAACCTCACTCTTTATACAGTTTTTAATATTTAAAATTCTTTCTTGTTTATAAACAACTTTCCCCACCTTTATCCCCCGCAATACTCTATATAATGTTATTAATATTTTATAATCATTTCAAGTGTTTATAACTCACATGTACTCAAGCATTCAGTATGATTAATATATTGTGTAAAGTATTATAGTTGGTTATACTAATATGAACTATATAAACAATCTTGATGTACCTTAGATTGATGGAAAAATAGCAAAAATTTAGAAAGTATTATCACATGACTGAGAAAAATTTAGTTATTTTCAATATGTTGTTGAATGACTCATAATAATAAAATTTGGTAATATTATTAAATTTTAATTGATAGTTCTATTAATTAGGTAATTAGAACGAGTTTTTAACGAGGGGAAATATCAGGTGTCTTAAGTTATCTTGAAAATTATCTTGAAGTTACAAGTACCACAATCTTACAGACAGAGAGTTGACAGTGGCCTAGTTTGATTGTTAAAAATAACTGACAACTAGCCAACTAGGACAGTGACTGATGTCCAGACGGTGATCTTGTTTACTCTGAACTTATGCTAGGGTTGTCTTATAAAATGAAATGGAGCTTTACACCCAATCAGTAAGATTCAATGTCATAATCTCAGTTATATTGGTTGACTATGAAATAATGAATTGAAATAGAGTTTTAGCTGTCTTCTCTTGTTGTAGTAGAATTGCAAAAACCACAAATATCTGAATGAAAATTGTTATGGTGTAAATCAATTCTAATTGTATGCAGTGTTTCAACAATTTACATTGTCATCATGAAGTGAAATGTTAGCTGAAATAGTCCCAAGTGACCATGTAAAGGCAGACAGTTTGAATGGAAGCCAAGTGACCCCTGGTCAGTCCAGACTGTAGTTATATTGACAGTTTGTAGTCTATGTTTACAATATAACATTGGACAATCACCTATTAACTAGTCTATTGTTGACTCTTATTAGTCTTATTGACTGGCTTTTTGGCAACTTTTCTTTCCTTCTTTATTCTTTTGTTGATCTCCATTTCCTTACATAGCTGTCCTGATGATGATTGTGTGTCTAAAACACATACAATTACAGGCATATAGGGTAGAGATTTGATGCACAATGTCCAAAATGGGCAATGGCAAAAGTTTGACCAACTATTCTGACAGATACTTTCAATAGATTAATCATTGTCACATGAGTCAGAAATTGTTTCTGGTTATAGATTGTTTACTGTGATACTTGCTTGATTTTAAATATATTATTATATATTTAATGTTATTATTGACTTAAAAAAAAGACAATGTAATATAAATAAGAGTGTACCTGTTGACCTCTGTGATATACCAACTCACCTGTACACCTGCTAGTAGTGTTTACCTGGTGCTTATTGACTATAATAGTATTTATATTGCTAGTCTTTATTAGACTGATATTGACTTGTGTTTATAGTTATGTAACAAATAATGAGCATTGCCCTTAAATATTGAGAAAAATATGACACATATTGTCTAATTGGACCATGATTCACTTTATCCAAATAGCTTTGTCATGTGACATCATGAATATATGACCTTGATCCCTTATTCAAGGTTCACCTGTTACAGTGAGACACTATAGAAATTGTAATAGTTTCTGGTTTCACAATATAAGATACAGGTATATACAATTATAACTATGAAGTTAGCAACTGTGAACAATTTTAAACCAATGATGACTGTGAAATTTTCACAGCTACATTGTGGTCCATTATGAATTACGAACTTTTATTGAATATCATTGATGTTGTCATTTCAGGGAGGTGCCATAAGCACTTACGCCGATCTTGGTCAAATTTATACTGACCTTTCGACCTCTGAGATTCAGGCTCAACTAGAAGAGAAACGTGAATATATTAAAAAAGAAATCCGACGCGAGATGAAGATTAAGGAAGGAGCAGAGAAACTTCGTGAAGCCACGTCGGACAAGAAAAGTTTGTCTAATGTTCACAGTATGGTGAAGAAAGCAAACACCAAGTTACAAGATTTACATCGAGAGCTTCAAGACATCAACGCTATTTTACTTGTTGCTAATTGTTCTACTCCTGATGCAGGCCCTGGTGAGTTGTTTCCCTTTTTTAATGCTACTAGCCCCGTTAATATACAAGATGCACTTTTCAGGGGGCATCTTCACAATGTCAAGTTAGGTAGGTAGGTAGATGACAAGTTAACGTTCGCTTCCAGAGGATGCTGATATCGCAAAATGTCAAGTTACTATGAACTTCGTACTTATACCTTGTCTGCAATAGTCACATTTCTTGTATAACAGAATGCAGCGATTTGATTAGATTGTACACCAGCGAATACAGCCAATCAGAGCCCTCGACAGATAGACTTGTAAACATCATGGCTTTGTGTTCATAAACTTTCTGTCGAGGCTTCTGATTGACTGTATTCGCTAGCATACAAATCATTTATTCATTTACAAACTTCTGTGATACAAAAAAGGTGTTAATTGAAGTCATTTCGTCAATGAAAACATAAAATGAAACAGACAATGGACATCTGGTTGGGCCTAATCCCACTGTAATATAATTTGTATTCCAGATTTATTGAAAACACCAGAGAAAGCTGGTGACCAGACGGACAGTCCATCTGTTAACCCTAGAATAGTCAGTTTACAAAAACAAATTACGATAGAACTTAAGGTACGACAATTTTTTCTATGAAATTTGAGGGAGTCGTTGTGGCTCAGTGAGTTAGATGCTTGTTTGCTAACCTGAAGGTTACTGGGGAGGACTGGACTGAAAAAAACGTTTGCCTTTGTATGTCTGTGAATGTTAAAGATTCCTGAACAGTTGGAAATAAAAGAAACAGTAAGCATATGTCGCTGTCATTGAATTTTTTTTTCCCTCATTGAAAACTGCATGGCATTGTCTATCCTATTCATGAGTTCAGTTAGGTGTAGAACAGTAGAAAATAAATTTCATTTCGAAGTTCGAAGCCTTTTGTATATATGAAGACCAATCCCTCTATTTTAGGTAAAACAAGGTGCAGAGAATATGATAGCTATGTATAAATCAGGTTCATCCCGTGATAAAAAACTACTAGCTGAAGCTCAACTTATGTTAAGTGATGCTAAAACTAAAATAGAAATGATAAGAATGCAGATATTAAAAGTTACACAAGATACATCTTCTTCAGAGTCTGGTGAAGGTATGTATAGGGTTTACATCTTCTTCAGAGTCTGGTGAAGGTATGTATAGGGTTTACATCATCTTCAGAGTCTGGTGAAGGTATGTATAGGGTTTACATCTTCTTCAGAGTCTGGTGAAGGTATGTATAGGGTTTACATCTTCTTCAGAGTCTGGTGAAGGTATGTATAGGGTTTACATCTTCTTCAGAGTCTGGTGAAGGTATGTATAGGGTTTACATCATCTTCAGAGTCTGGTGAAGGTATGTATAGGGTTTACATCTTCTTCAGAGTCTGGTCTGGTGAAGGTATGTATAGGGTTTACATCTTCTTCAGAGTCTGGTGAAGGTATGTATAGGGTTTACATCTTCTTCAGAGTCTGGTCTGGTGAAGGTATGTATAGGGTTTACATCTTCTTCAGAGTCTGGTCTGGTGAAGGTATGTATAGGGTTTACATCTTCTTCAGAGTCTGGTGAAGGTATGTATAGGGTTTACATCTTCTTCAGAGTCTGGTGAAGGTATGTATAGGGTTTAGTGACAAATAAGCTACAAGGACTAAGGGTGTGTTGATAGTGTTGATAATCTATACCTGTCTATTAGGGGATCTCTCTGTGGAATCAGGAGGATTCGAACCCACAGCACTTAATCGCCTAGCCGACTACAATACAACTTGCTACTAACTAAACTATTCCAATGCGTCACAAATAAGGACTCTGAGTAATATTCATCAGATCATGTTCAATCAACAAAATTAATTATCATTGCCATTCTTAGACTTGATTGTTTGGAGTTTTTTCTAGTGTTTTCTATGTGTATCTATTTTTCTCTAATTTCAGGAGGTAAAAAAATTAACGATCACCTATCACCTACAGATCAGCGTATAGAAGAATTACGACACCATCTAAAAATAGAATCGGCAGTAGCTGTCGGAGCTAATAATGTTATAAAGTTATTACAGGCTAATAAAGCTGATGATAAAAAGGCCATAAAGGAGGTAGGACATTTTTTTTTCTGTGGAAGTTTGGCCTGGGTGACTTGGCAAGTTTGTGGCTTGCCCGAGAACAAGAGCTTAGTTTAAGATAGTACCGGTACAATATTTTTTTCTGTCAAAGTTTGGCCTCGCGACTTTGTGGCTTGTTTGAGAACAAGATAAGAGCTTAGTTTGAGCCTCATGTTTAAGTCTTAGATTAGGCCAATGCAGCTGTTCTTGAAAAATTTCCTCATTGTACACTGCATGATATTGCCAGTACTCGTTAGCCCTGTTCAAAGAGCTCATTCCAAAAGTGCTCAGGTTTGAATTTTAGAAAGCAGAAAAGTAGGAGGTAAAACTCAATTCATTTCATTTCATTTGAATTTTTTTAGCAAATGTCCAAATTGAGTCAAAATAGGTCTTAGAAATAAAATGGCATCCTCTTTTCTTTCCAGGCACATTCAAGTTTGAGTGAATCCAGTCAAAAAATGGATTTATTACGAATTTCATTAGAAAAACGATTATGTGAACTCGAACCCAAATCTCCTAAAATTGAACTGTTAAAAGAAGAACTGAATGAATTAATGAGTCCACAGATAACTTCTCACAGACATTCTATAACTGCTCAAACTCAAAATACGTCCACATTACCTAAACCAGCTGCCATGACTGGTAAACTGGAAGTTCGGTAAGTTTTTTTCATATATTCTTCCAACACATGCAAGGTCAATTTTGCCAGGTTTTTGGTGTTGACATAAAAAAATGTTAGTGGTATAGATAGGACTATTAACTCAAGGTTCTATGTGTGACAAACTTTTTGTGCCAAAGATCGCTTGACATGCGATTGGAAATCAAATAGATAGATAGAAATATATCAAATATCTGATAGAATTTCCCTAATTGCATAATTCATTGTGTTTCATTAGACAAGTATGTGCTTCGTAGGAGGTAGGAGATAAAATTTCACTCATTTCTCACTGCATGGTGTCTTCATTTACCCAATCAAGGGCAGGGAGTTAAGTAAACTTAGTCCAATTAATGCGCTCAAAAGTAGAATGAAGATCCAATTCCAAATGAATAAATTGTTTAACAAATTTGACCTGTAACTATTTTCAGGCTGGTAGGTGTACAGGATCTATTAGAAGATATACCAACTAGAAGGAAAGATAGCACCCAGCTACTGCTCTCTAGCCCCGGGGAGAGTAAGAGTTTATTACGAAGAGGCAGTAGTAAGGTGTATAATATAAAAGATGATTTAAGCAGTAAGTATTTAACTTTGAAGACAACCCCCAAGAGAATCAAAAATTGTGTTTCCTTGCAAGAGTTTCTGGAATAGTCAACAGAGTGCAAGGGACTGACATGGAAAAAGACTCTAGCCTTTCGGATTGGACATTTTCCCTAAAACTAAGTTTTATGACGTCACTATCACTGAAGCTGCTGTTTTTAGAAATTAACCCAAAACACATGAAAAATTTAGAAAACCTCTTTACAATCACTTTAAGACAAAGCAAAAGTAAGTACTGCTTGACTGAAATTGTGGGAGACGTAAGGGATTAGCTACTTAGTATAAGTTTAGAGACTAAAGGGGTTCAGATTTGTATATGTAGTTGAGTGATATGTTTTATATTGTAGATGAAGTAATGGCAGTATTAAAGTTAGATAATCAACAAGTTGTACAGACAGCTTGGAAATCTAATAGTCAACAATGCTGGGATCATAGATCTTCTATAGACTTAGATAGGGTATGTATACCTTTAATTTCCCCAAATTCTGATTTCTGATATCTTAAGATACTAGCTTTCACTTACAACTTGCCACTCATATACAATTTATATTTTCCAGTCTCGAGAATTAGAGATCTGTATATACTGGAGAGATTGGCGTCAGATGTGTGCCGTGAAATTTCTCCGTCTGGAAGACTTCCTTGACAACCAACGTCATGGTATTACGATACATTTAGAACCAAAGGGTATACTCTTTGCCGAGGTAAGTTCTTGTAATTTCATTGAGGCAAGTCTTTGATAAATTTAAGATGTATGATACATTCTCCAGAAAGATTTGCTGATTCTACGACAATTTTTTTTGAGGCAACACATCAATAAATTTGGTAACAATCAATTGGTATTTGCTGAAGATGGGCGTATGCCCCGATTCGACAAGCTAAGAGCATAGAATTTGATGTGTTTGGCTTCTATATTTGTAGATCAAATTCTTAAATCCAACGTTAATACGAAAACCTAAATTACGCAGACAGAGAAAAATATTTCCAAAACATAAAGGTTTGTAGAATTTTGTATTTAAGGACTATGAGCTCTAGCCAGACATGCCTGGTAAATACAGTCTAGAGTTCTAGCCAGACATGACTGGTAAATACAGAGCTCTAGCCAGACATGACTGGTAAATACAGTCTAGAGCTCTAGCCAGACATGACTGGTAAATACAGAGCTCTAGCCAGACATGACTGGTAAATACAATCTAGAGCTTTAGCCAGACATGACTGGTAAATACAGAGCTCTAGACAGACATGACTGGTAAATACAGAGCTCTAGCCAGACATGTCTGGTAAATACAGTCTAGAGCTCTAGTCAGACATGACTGGTAAATACAGAGCTCTAGTCAGACATGACTGGTAGATACAGCCAAATCAGCATTTTAGATTTAGTCAGACATGACTAGTAAAAACTGTCTAATCAACATTCCTTACTTGTTTGGTTATTTTTAATATGAATATAAAAATATAAATGTGTAGGTGGTCAAATAGAAATATTTCATGCAATTAAAGGTCACTTAGTAGCTTAAAATGCAGAAAAACCTTTTCAAAATGTCAAAAATTCCATCTAGAATTTTAAAAGGCTTTTTTTTGTGCACTTTAAAGAAATGTTTGTATAACAATTGACTTGGAAGAAATTCGTGTGGCACCCACCAGGTTTTTCTATTATGGTGGTTATGGGTTCTGATCTAGGTTAGCTCGTGAACCTATGTTGTTATCCTTGTAAGATCAAGGTCCAGTCGACAGAGCTGTGAATTGGTAAGGATATTGGTTAAAGATCAATGCCAAGAGGTTTGTCCAAGGACCTGCTGGTAGAAAGGATCTTCCTGAACCTAAATGTATCTTCTTTGACAATAAACTTTTTAAATTTTGAATTTCAGGAAAGAATTTTCTGCGTCCAGGTCAGATGAATATTAACGTAGCAACATGGGGTAGATTGATGAAACGAGCCTTACCCCCAAACTGTGCTGATAGTAATATAGCTAGCCCTCCCTCTCAGATCATGTCACCAGGTAACTCTTTCATTACTAGGGGTGGTGGGGGACTGGAATAGGTGAGGAGGGTGACTGATGGTGCTATGCTTTCAGATTCCTGTTTGTGCTGCAGTCTCATTAGAGATGGGCCATCCCTACTTAACCCTAACAAAGTCACTAAATTTTATTCAATCTTGACAATCAAAGAGGCTTCACTCTTCTAGAAAAAAGAAACTAGCCTGCCCTTTGTCCCTCACAGATGGATAAGATGTAAAACAAAGACATGTTTCTCAATATTTTAATCCTAATTGCAGGTATCATGGCGTCAGATCGAGGGCCACCAGTTCATGAGATTAATTTCTCCCCTCCCAGCAGTGAAGAAGAGCTGGGATCAAGGGAGAAAACTGAGACAAACAACCTTCACCCTGATGTCATTAAATCTATCACCACGTCTGCTTCTTCTGTCACTAATGAAGAACAGGTAGGCAGAATTTGGCTTTTTTTGTAAATGGATTTTAAAGAAGTTTTCTAAATTTTGTATGTGTATTGGAGTCACTGATAGCATCTATGTACACCATTTTAAATTTCAATCAGACATATGTGGTTCTATTTATATGCTAATGATATGTAGATGACATCTAAGGGCCTTTGTGAAAGTGAAAATGTAAAACGCCTAAAGTTGAAGAAATACAAAGAATGCTAGTTGAAGTTTTTGGAAAAAATGTTTTTTGTCTTCATTGTTCCAAATAAGACTGGTATCTTTGCAGGTGGCGATGTCTAATTTTGATTTCCTTGCCGATGATACAGGAAGTTTAGATAATTCATTAGTTGATTTAGATGATGAACAAAAAATTAAAAGTACAGACACGCCTTCTTTACCTGAAGCTCCACCCCCTCGAGTTCCGTCAATCCCACCCACAAGACCTGCCGTTGCTCCGCGCAAACCTGTGGTTAAAGAACCAGAGTAAGTGTGATGTTATTCTATTATTTGATTTTTCAATTAAAAATAGTGGATGTCCTATGTCTTACATTGTAAATTGTTTATTTTATCTTGTGATGCCATTATTATCAAAGAACCAGAATAAGTCAACTGAGTCTCTATGTGTTACAGTGTTAAGATTCTTGTCAGGTTTCCGTATGACATTGACTGCCTTCATTATCCCAATTTTAAATGCATCGATAATTGATAGTGCAAATTTTTACTTTCAGTTTCTCGAATCAGCCATGTAGAATGGAAGATTTTAGATGTATCAGTGTATTAGGTAGAGGACATTTTGGAAAGGTAAGCCCTCGCTCTCAACCCCAAGCGGTCTTGAATTGGCAAAGTTTACCTTATTGCACATGGCATGATACTTGTAGTAAATAGGTTATTTAGGCTTAGAAAGTTCCATTTAAGAAATGTCTAATACATACAGTATTTACATCAGCTTATGGATGTACAAATTATTTATTAAATTTCTGTATTCTAGGTATTACTTGCTGAATATCGTAAAACAGGAGAATGTTTTGCCATCAAGGCGTTAAAGAAAGCTGATATCATAGCACGAGATGAAGTGGAAAGTTTAATGTCTGAAAAACGTATTTTTGAAGTCATCAATTCAATGAGGCATCCATTTTTAGTGAATCTATTTTCCTGCTACCAAACTGCAGTAAGTTGAAGTATTTTTGTGTCTTGTTATTTGGAGGGTGGACAGGGAGGGTCTGTCTGTGTCCACCCTTAGCTTGTCAAGAGTTGACTGTGTTGCAGAGTGGTATCGTGTATTGTGATGATACTAGAGTGGCGCTCACTCGGGATTCATGGAAATGACCTATAGCTTATTTAAAGCAAGTTGGAACAGAGTTCAGAATGTGTTCCACTTGTGCTGAAAAGTTAAAAATGGTGGAGAAAGAAATAGAAGGGTCATTTGAATATGATATTTCTAGTTCTACACTTATAGAGCACTACGCAAATGTTGTGAGTACACACTGTTTTGCAAGTAACATCTGCTATATTAATCGTCAGTCGAGAGCCTTATTATCTGTGTCTATTTTTAGGAACATGTGTGTTTTGTAATGGAGTATGCGTGTGGTGGAGATCTGATGATGCACATACATAATGACGTGTTTTCAGAACAGAGGACAGTGTTTTATGCAGGATGTGTAGTTTTAGGTTTACAATATTTACATGAACATAATATTGTTTATAGGTAAGTTATTCGTTTATTTCTTTAGATTTATTTAGTTCAGTGTTATGCCACTCTTGTTAGGATACAATATAAGTATCATGATACGAGGGCCACAATATAAGTATCATGATACAAGGGCTACAATATAAGTATCATATGGTGGCTACAATATAAGTATCGTGATACGAGGGCCACAATATAAGTATCACGATACAGGGGCTACAATATAAGTATTGTGATACAGGGGCTACAATATTAGTATCATGATACAAGGGCCACAATATAAGTATCATGATACAAGGGCCACAATATAAGTATCGTGATACCAGGGCCACAATATAAGTATCATGCTATGGTGGCTACAATATAAGTATCGTGATACGAGGGCCACAATATAAGTATCACGATACAGGGGCTACAATATAAGTATTGTGATACGAGGGCTACAATATTAGTATCATGATACAAGGGCCACAATATAAGTACCATGATACAAGGGCCGCAATATAAGTATCGTGATACCAGGGCCACAATATAAGTATCGTGATACCAGGGCTACAATATAAGTATTGTGATACGGGGGCTACAATATTAGTATCATGATACAAGGGCTACAATATAAGTATCGTGATACAAGGGCCACAATATAAGTATCACAATACGGGGGCTACAATATAAGTATCATGATACGAGGGCCATGATATGGTGGCTACAATATAAGTATCACGATACAGGGGCTACAATATAAGTATTGTGATACAGGGGCTACAATATTAGTATCATGATACAAGGGCCATGATATGGTGGCTACAATATAAGTATCATTATTTATACACTACTCAATTAAATGGCCAAGTTTTTTACACTCCAAAACTTTCATTTCATTTCAGAGATTTAAAATTAGATAACTTATTACTGGATGTTGAAGGCTATTTAAAAATAGCTGATTTTGGTTTATGTAAGGAGAGTATGGGATACGGAGATCGTACCAGTACATTTTGTGGCACGCCTGAATTCTTAGCTCCTGAAGTTTTGACGGAAACATCCTACACTAGATCTGTAGATTGGTGGGGACTTGGTGTTCTTATCTACGAAATGTTAGTCGGAGAGGTAAGTCATGATTTAATGGACTCTCACGACTGATTAGATTTCCAGAGCCCTCTCAGTTGTATTCAAGTCCCTGGGATTCTGCATATACAATGGGGAGTGGTTAACTAATTGGACAAGAGATTTTAGAGAACAGAATCATAGGATGACGTCACTAGAGGTTTATTAGTTGTATTATTAAAAGTTGTCCTGTATTTGTAGAGTCCCTTCCCAGGGGATCCTCTAGA